AGCAGCCCTCTGCTCGCTGCTCTGGTTCTGCCTGCTTCAGCCTTCTCCCACTGTGTCCCACCGTGCCTTGCCCACTTTTAATTTCATGGCTGCAGTCACCATCCACAGTGATTTTGGAGCCCAAGGAAATAAAATCTGTCTCTGTTTCCACTTTTTCCCCATCTATTTGCCATGAAGTGATGGGACTGGATGCCATGCTCTTCGTCTTTTGAATGTTGAGTTTTAAGCTAGCTTTTTCGCTGTCCTCTTTTACCCTCACCAAGAGGCTCTAGTTCCTCTTTACTTTCTGCTATTTGAGTGGTATCATCTACATATCTGAGGCTGTTGATGTTTCTTCAGGCAGTCTTGATTCCCGCTTGTGAGCCATCCAGCCCGGCATTTCGCATGCTGTACTCTGCATAGAAGTTACATAAGCAGGGTGACAATATACAGCCTTGACATACTCCTTTCCCAATTTTGAACCAGTCAGTGGTTCCATGGCTGGTTCTAACCGTTTCTGCTTCTCCTGAATACAGGTTTCTCAGGAGGCAGGTAGGGTGGTCTGGTATTCCCCATCTCTTTAAGAATTTTCCACAGTTGTGATCCACACAGTTAAAGGTTTTAGAGTAGTCAATGAAGCAGAAGTAGATGTAGATATTTTTTTAATCCTCTGGCTTTTTCTATGATCCAATGGATATTGACAATTTGATCTCTGATTCCTCTGCCTCTTGTAAATCCAACTGGTACATCTGGAAGTTCTCAGTTCACGTACTATTGAAGCCTAGTTTGAAGGATTTTGAGCATTACCTTGTTTGTGTGTGACATGAGCCCTAGCCATGATCTACTCCCTCACCCCGCCTGGGTGTTAACCACCCCTCACAAGTTTTCTGTGGCTTCCAAGGGACTTCCCTTGAGCCACGCTGCTGAGCCCAAGCCCAGACCCTGCCCAGGTCAAGGGCCTCTGTACCTCTATTGAAGGGAGAAAAGAGATTCTGGCTGGGGGATTTCTAGGAAAAGAATCTTCAAGTGCTGACCTGTAATGTCAAAAAGTGATAGAACACAATGTGAGCACTAGAAGGGACTTGGAGACCTCCAGCTTAGCCCCCTCTTGCTCTATAGATGGGAGGCCGGGGCCTGGAGAGGCTCACTCAAGCTTTCACAGTCAGGAACCAGAACCCCTGACCTGTGTGGGCTTGCTTCTTCCCTCTTTTTCTCTCGCCCTGTAGCCAGAAACAGCTCCTTCACTTCATAGTCACCATATGAGAAAGAGCAAGCCACAGGGCTATACTCTAATTGGGGGTGGAGTATAGGACATGGTTCGTCTGAGTTTCCAGAGTGGTTCATGAGCTATAAACCCCAAGCAATGGGTTCATACCTTGGCTTACTCCGTGGCTTTTAATTACTTACGAGTCTGCCTTCCTCGCCAAACTGAGTTCCTTCAGGGCACAGACCATGCGTTACTCATCTTTGGGACCACAGTGCTGGCCTAAAGTAGGCATTAAATACATGTTGGGTAGACCAGACGGGCAGAGATTGAGGGAGGGGATGGGCTGGACTGGGGAGGGAGAGGTGGCTGGACCAATAATGTTGGGGCAAGGTGGCAGGGAATCCCTGGCCGTCCAGTGGTTAGGACTCTCTGCTTTCAATCTCTGATCTAAGAACTAAGATCCTACAAGACGTGGGGTTCGGCCAAACACACACACACACAAAACAGTTGAGGGCTTAAGAGATCAATAAACTATTTCTTTTTTGAGAAATAAGAGGTGGAGGTGTCTCTTATTCGGAGGCATTCTGTTTAGGAAAGTTGGTTGTGTCTGGGTCTAGACTGTGGATGTTGTGATGATGGGGTCTCAGTCTTTCCCCCACGTCCTTCCCTCCACCCCCTCTACCATCTGTCCACCTATTCCATCTCACCTATCCTCATTCATGTTTCCTTTAGGGGAGAGAATTCCCACTCCCTCTCCTGGAGGCGAAGTGTGAGAGGACCACTGCTGAATCCTCACTGGCTCCACCCTCCGCAGAGAAGGGAAATGATTTGTCTTTCATTCAAAGACAAAATGGTGTCTTTACCAGTATTTCTTTTTTTATATTCATTTATTTTTGGCTGTGCTGGGTCTTCATTGCTGCACAGGCTTTTCTCTAGTTGCAGCGAGTGGGGGCTACTCTTTGTTGAGGTGTGTGGGCTTCTCATTGCAGTGGCTTTTCTTGTTGCAGACCACGGGCTTCAGAGCAGAGGCTCAAGAGTTGTAGCGCATGGGCTTATTTCCTCTGTGACATGTGGGATCTTCCTGGATCAGGGATCAAATCTACGTCTCCTGCATTGGCAGGTGTATTCTTTACCACTGAGCCACCAGGGAGACCCCTACCGGTACTTCTGATAAAGCTGATTGGAGAACATAGCTTTTGCTCTCTGGCCAAATGGTCTTTCTAATATCTTACCAAAACTAAACATGCACACCCCCCGCCTGAAGAGAGTGGACCTCTTTCCCTTGTGGGGACAGAACCTCCTCTGGAATTTTACCATGTAGATCAGTGGAGAATACGCTACTTTTGCAGAACTGAGAGAGAGACAGAGAAACCCAGAAATATCTGAGCCCAGCTCCTTCCCTCAGCCACAAAATGGACATATCATTCCCCTTCTCTGTGGAGGGTGGAGCCAGTGAGGATTCAGGAGTGGTCCTCTCACACTTTGCCTCCAGGAGAGGGGAGTGGGAAACATTTCCTGAAGGAAACATGAATGGGGACAGGTGGGATGGGATACATGGACAGTTGGGTAGAGGGGGTGGAGGGAAGGATGTGGGGGAAAGGCTGAGACCTCCATCATCACAGCATCCCCAGTCTAGACCCAGACACAACCACCTTTCCAAAACAGAATGCCAGAATTCTTATTCCTTGTGATGGCGCTTGCCTGGCACGCATCCACATATGCAGAATTGGAGAGAGGACCTTGCCTCCCGTGAGCTGGGATAAGAGGCCAAATCTCGGAACCACACTCCACTGACACGGCCCAGGGTCACGTTCAGCTTCAGGACTGGCCTTTGGTCTGGAGGGCCCCAGAGACTCACCAGGAGGAGTTCCTCTGATGTTGCTTCATTTGTTGTCAGGCCTTCCTGAGCCCCTATCCATTCATGGCTGCAAAGACTCTAAACCAGCATGTCCTGAGCTCCTCATCCTCTCCCAGTCAGGCCCCTGACACAGGGAGTCCACTTATTCCTCTTGACAACCTGATGAAGGAGACGGTGTTGGCCCCATCCTACAGACCAAGGCACCGTGACTCAGTGCTTAGCTCACCCATTAAGTGCCAGAGGCAATGTGGCCTCCGGAGACCTGCGTGGTGCTCTAGAGCAGCTAAACCACAGCATCTGGCTTGTTGCTGGGACTCTGGTGCTTTGGGCCACTCTGCCCCCGACCCCCCCACCACTGCACCCAGTTCCTTCAACAAGCCCGTCCCTGCCCCTCTAGTCCTCCAGCCTGGCACGCCCAGCCCACCACTCCACACATCTTGAAATCTTTCTCATCCTCTAATTCCCAGCATGAGCCAGTCCCTGGGAATCCTCACAACTTGTCCCTGTGTCTAGCTCTTAGCTTTGCCTTGAGTCAGGAGATCTGGGGGACTTCCCTGGTGGTCCAGTAGTAAAGAATCTGTCGTCCAATACAGGGAACATGGGTTTGATCCCTGGTGGGGAAACTAAGATCTCAAATGCCACAGAGCAACTAAGCTCTTGCCCTGCAACTAGTGAGTCCACGCACCTCAACTAGAGACTCCGTGTGCTGCAACCAGAGAGGCCTGCATGCTGCAAGAGTCCACATGATGCAACTAAGACCCAACACAGCCAAATTAATTAATTAAAAAGAGAGAGATTTGGGCATACTCTGGCTCCCCTCCCAGCCCTGGCTGTTCCGTCCAGGAATCCTGTCTTCTCTGACCCAGCAGTGCCCCAGTAGAGGCATGTGGCCATGTTGGCATCAGAGCCGTTGGCAACTGAAGGGCTGCAGCCCAGAATCTGCTCCCACCACCCAGACAGGACGTTCACCTGCCCGGGCGCCGCTCGGCTTGTAAGAGAGAACAGACAAGGCTAAATAGCCCCCAGGGTGGTAGAATGATGCCGGGCAGGCGCCTGACACACCTCCTGGACAGGAAGGTCTTCTTCTTCCTCTTAATAATGGTTATTAAGGAGCCTGTTCCCGACACACTGCGGCCAGGTCTGGGCTTAGCTATCCACATGGCTCTCATCACCCTGGGACCCCACCCCTAGCTCAGCCCCAAGGCTAGGATCTACCTGTCTACCTTCCCACTGCCCTTTACCCACTCAGTCCATCGAGCGGGTGAGTGGGGCTGCAGCCCTGGGGAATCTGGTTTTATTTACATGCTTTTATTGGCTTTGCCAATAAGTTCGTTAGGGGTTTTCCATAAGATGTAATGGAAAAATCCAAATGAACATTTTGGCCAATCCAATATTATCAGGGTATCAGGGATCCCTTGGAGCACCTTTCAACTCAGTCTCCCTATCCTGGCCCCTCTCAGCTGAGTTTCCTTGTGCAGACACTTAGGCCCATGGTCTAATGTGAGGGTCAAAGACCACCCCTGATGCCAGGCACTCATACACCCAGATATGCACCCACCCACACACACGAGAACACACAGAGATGTACATGTAGGTAAACACACTGATGTGCAGGTAAGACAGCCAAGCAGACACACAAACATTGCAGAGAGATAGCATGTAATATGTGTACATGCATAGGTACAGTTGTGCATAGGTACAGTGTACAGGCACACCTCATTTTATTGCACTTCGCTTTATTGTGCTTTGCAAATTTTGCATTTTTTTTACCAACTGAATCTTTGTAGCAACCCTGAATTCTGGGATGATGGTTAGCAGTTTTTAGCAATAAAGTATATTTTAAAACTTTCCCATGTGGTTCCTCTGCTGATGTCTAGTGGTTTTATTTGTTTCCTTCTAAGGCAGGATATATGGGCCTTAAGCCCTATCCCTTTCCACGTTTGACATGGGGTTTGAATGTTGTGTGTTGTGTTTTGTTTATTTTGTTCTGAAATTAAAGTATTGAAAATAAAGAAGATGCAGGTTTTTTACACACACACAAAAAAAAATAAAATAAAACTTTCTTTTTGTCTGTGTCCTGCAGCAAGTGGGATCTTAGTTCCCCAACCAGGGATCGAAACTTCACCGCCTGTAGTGGGAGCCCTGAGTCTTAACCACTGGACACCCAGGGAAGTCCCAGCAATAAAGTATTTTAAAATTAAGATATGTATTTTTTTAGACATAATGTTACTGCACACAATAGACTACAATGTAGTGTAAACACAACTTCTGTATGCACTGGAAAGCCAAAAAATTTGTGTGATTCGCTTTATTGAGATATTTGCTTTATTATAGTGGTCTGTAATAAATGGTCTGAACTCATAATATCTCTGAGGCATTTCTGTATATGTTGAGCCATGTGAAATGTGAAATTGCCAATATTCAGTGGTTTTTTTTACTTACAGAAATGGAATCTAATACAAACGTGGGCATGGAGGGAAATATAAAAAAAATACAGAGCCAAATTTTTACACCCATGTTCAAGCAGCATTATTCACAGTAGCCAAAAGGCAGAAACAATTCAAGTGTCTATCAGTAGGTGAATGGATAAACAATGTGGTATGTACACACAATGGAATATTATTCAACCTTAAAAAAAAGGAATTCTGTCACACATGGTTGAACATCAGTGAACCTTGAGGATATTATGCTAGGTGAAATACGCCAGTCATAAAAAGAGAAAGACTGTATGATTCCACTTACATGAGATATCTAGAGTAGTCAAAATCATAGAGTTAGAAAGTAGAGTGGTGGGGAACTTCCCTGCTGGTCCAGGCTAAGATGCTGCATTCCCAATACACGGGGCCTGAGTTCGATCCCTGGTCAGGGAACTAGATCCCACATGCCACAACTAAGACCTGGTGCAGACAAAAAAATTAAAAATGAGAAAAAAAGAAAGTAGAGTGATGACTATCACGGGCTGGAAGAGAGAGAGGAAGGTACTAAGACTTTTATAGAGACAGAGTTTCAGTTGTGGAAGATGGAAAAAGTTCTGGCAATGGATGGTGGTGATAGCTGCATACCAGTGTGAGTGAACCACTGAACTACATACTTAAAAACAGTTAAGATGAGGGACTTCTCTGGGAATTCAGTGGCTAAGACTCTGGCTCCCAATGCAGAGGCCCTGGGTTTCATCCCTGATCAGGGAACTAGATCCCACGTGCCACAACTAAGACCCTGGTGCAGTCAAATACATTTTAAAAAGTAAATTAAAAAAAAAAAAAACATTTAAGATGCTAAACTTTATGTTAATTAAAAGTGATTTTTAAAAAGAGCCCAAAATATGTGTCATCAGGTAGATATATACATACTGAGGGATAAACCACAGAAACTCAGCAACACTGAAATATGCCTGCTCCCCTCCCAATGGTGCTTCTCTGACCCAGATAAGGCCCCTGCTCCCCCGGCAACAGATCTGGAGATAAGGCCCTAATGAAGGCCCCGCCACCCTGGCTACCCCCACAGCTTATTACCCTCCCACGGTCTGGCTCTGCTTACTCACCTCCCACCCCTCACTCAGCCTCCCCACCTCCAGGGAAGGGCCGCCTTTTATTTTTTTGGCCGCACAGCATGGCACGCAGGATCTTAGTTCTGCAACCAGGGATCAAACCTGTGCCCTGTGGACACAGAGGAACCTGTGTCTGGTCTGGGCATGACCTCAGACCAGTTGAAGCAAGTGCGGCCAGCACTGAACAGGGTCATGAGACATGACCTGACGTCTCCTGCTGTCCTGGCCATCTTATTGGACCTTGTCCCTCCGCAGAAAGGTGGTGCCTCAGGCTGGCACTGTGACCACTGCGACCACTCCCGCCCGGCCTGCCTCCGCAGTGAGCTGCCATCTGCTGACTACTTTTCCCCAGCACAAGGCCTCTCACCCTGCTCCTGAGGCCTCTGGGACTTCGGCCCTTGATGGTGGCAGAAAACAGAAACTTGCCTCCAGACCTGTTTGCCTCTGAACCATGCAACATGTGCCCTGATCCTCTCAAACAACTTTCTCATAACTATTAAAAATTTTAAAATTTTATTTATTTTTGGCTCTGCTGGGTCTTCGTTGCTTTGCATGAGCTTTCTCTAGTTGAGGTGAGCAGGTGCTGCTCTAACTGCGGTGCTCCGGCTTCTCATTGCGCTCCTGCTGTGAAGCAATGGTTCTAAGCGCAACCCACAGGCTCGGTAGTTACTGCTTGTGGGCCCTAGAGCGCAGGCTCAGTAGTTAATGGCTCACAGGCTTAGTTGCTCCATGGTATGTGGAATCTTCCAGACCAGGGATCGAACCCATGTCCCCTGCACGGGCAGGCAGGTTCTTATTCACTGAGCCACAGGAGAAGCCAATAATCATTTAATATCCAGCCCCTGAGGAGGGTTCGGGTTAGAGTTAGTGTCTGGCCCTACCGGGTCAAGAGCTTTCCCGGAGTTGAGCTTGTTGGAAACAGCCATCTGAACAGAATTTTTCCGGAGTGGGACAGCATTTTTCACCGGGACTCTGGAAGGTCAGGGTTTGCAGGAAACTGTTGGAGCCTGGTGGGGAAGGAGCAGGTGATGCTGGGGTGGGGCTGCGGGGGGTGGGGAAGGAGAGTGTGCTGAGGGCCTTCCTTTCCCTGGGCGGGCGAGTCCCAACAGCAGGGAGACAGGTGAGGCTGACCCGACAGGTTCCTGAGGCCGGGGGCAAAGGGGTGGAGCGTGGCTCTGACATAGGGTGACAGCAGGCCCGGGGCCCTGCACACAGGGCAGGCGGGGCGGCAGGCAGGCCCGCTGGGATCTTCTTCCTGCTGCGGCCAGCCCAGGGTGCAGGCCATGGAGCCCGCGGGAGGGTGAGAGGAGCCGGTGGGCGGGCGTGTTCGGAGGCCCGGGGCCTGGGGGCCCAGGGCATGGCGGGACCCCTGAGGAGCCGGGTGGACGAGCTGAAGCAACCCTGGTGGCGGCAGAGCTCCCCGCTGGTGCTGCAGCACAGTGAGGCGGCCCGGCTGGCGGCCGACGCCCTCCTGGAGCGGGGCGAGGATGCCTACCTGCGGGTCATCTCCGAGGAGCGGGAGCTGCCCTTCCTCAGTGCCCTGGACATGGACTACATGACGAGCCACGCGCGCGGGGGCCCGGAGCTCGGCGAGGCCCAGGGACCCGAGGCCTCGGGGCCTGACCGCCTCAGCCTGCACTCTGAAGTCACCTCAGGCACTTACTTCCCCCTGGCCTCCGACATAGACCCTCCAGACCTGGACCTGGGTTGGCCCGAGGTGCCACATGCCACGGGCTTCAGCCCCACGCAGGCTGTGGTCCACTTCCAGCGGGACAAAGCCAAGAGCATCAAGGACCTTCTGCGTTTCCTCTTCAGCCAGGCCCGCACGGTAAGGGCCCCATCTCTTCAGACACCCATTTCACAGATGTGGAAACTGAGGCCCAGGGAGGGAAAGGGACCAGTGCGCAAGGCCACCCAGCAGCTTGGGGGCAGCACTGGGACGAGAACCTCTGTCACCTATCAAGTCGCAAGCTCCTAGAGGTTTTATTTACCTTGGTAATCCTCTGGCGGGCTTCCCTGGTGGCTCAGATGGTAAAGAATCTGCCTGCAATGCGGGAGACCTGGGTTCGATCCCTGAGTTGGGAAGATCCCCTGGAGGAGGGAAAGGCAACCCACTCCAATATTCTTGCCTGAGAAATCCCATGGACAGAGGAGCCTGATGGGGTACAGTCCACGGAGTTGCAAAGAGTCAGACACGGCTGAGCGACTAAGCACGATCCCTTGGCATTCAGGGACATTGTGGATAAGCTTAGAACAGGGGATGGGCCTCAGAGACACCACAAACACCCTGAAAACAGGTGCAAAGGAGTGCTCATTGCAGAGAGGAATCCTCTCTCTTTTGGGGGACAGGGTCCATGGCTTCCATCAGATTCTCAGAAAGATATATGATCCCAAGACAAAGAGCCCCAACCTCGGTGAGCATCTGAGCCCGCCCCCCCCCCCCCCGCCCTTGACTTACAGAGGAGGAAACTGAGGCCAGGAAGGGGATGGGGCTCACTCAGGGAGGTCCAGTCCGTTGGTGAAATGGAGCCGGGGCTCAGGGAGAGGAAAGACGTCTGGACTCAGGCCCCCAAGACCCAGGCACAGCCCTGATGTATGGCCCCGACCATGCCTCGCCCCTTGTGTACTGTGTCCCTCTGGCCTGAATCAGGGGAAGGAGCACTGGAGCCTGGGCCTCTGCTTGGCCCTGAGGTCTGGGCTTTTAGCTCTGCACCCAAAGGAAGGAGGAGAGGAGGCTGCTGGGCTCAGGGATGGGGAGCAGGGGCTCAGGAGAAAGGGAGATGGGGGAGGACAGGTAGGGGTGCCAGTGCTGGGAAGACTGTAGCTAGACTAGCACAGCCTCACTCCTGGAACCCAGACCACTGACTCAGGAGGCAGGGGGATGAATCAGATGACCCCAGGAAGGGTTGGAGGCAGGTTAGCCCCGATGCCCTGGCTAGGGGAGCAGCCTGCAGGGAACCCACTGCAGATGTTAGGAGCCAGGATGCTGGGACCTACCGGGACCTCCAGAGCCTCCCTGGCAAGTCTCCCTACGCCCCAGGCAGGGGAGGTCAGGGCCTGATTGGTAGCTGGAATGGGGTTATTAGTGAGAGGCTGCTGTCATCACTTCTGCCCCTTTGATCTTTCTTGCTTGTCCTCCCCCCCACCCCCCATCACCATTCCTGGCCAGACCTGGGCCATGGACCAGGGCATCCCTCAGTGCTTTGGTTCCTCGCATCTAGACCCTCTGCCTCTGGGCCAGGAGCCAGGCTTCCACTCTGGGCTGTCACTGACTCTCGGTGACCTTAGGACGTGCTTCCTATCCCCATGGCCCAAGGTCCTTGTTTGTTAAGGAAGCAGCAGGAAAGGATCATTTATTGAGCTTCGGTTGTGTGTTGAGGCTTTTCACGTTTGATTCTCCACAACTCAGAGAGGTAGCTATCATTATCTCCATTTACCAGATGAGGAAGTCGAGGCACCCAGAGGTGAAAGAACTCGCTCAAGGCTGTGTCACTAGGAAGTAGCAGACTGCAGGTTTGAACCTGGTTCTGTTTGGCTCCAGAACTGGAGTGCTCTGCTCTGGACCTGCTGCCTCTCAACCTGAAGGACTGGGAGGGGAGGTTCTCACAGCGGACAGTGAGCAGAAAACTTGGTCCCAGTTGGTGTGGGTGGAAAAGGTCACAGCAACCTCTGCAGCTTCACAGAGGTACAGATGGGTCTGGCAAAGGGCACTGAAGACCCCAGTCACTGCCTGCAGCTCTGATCCATGACAAGGGAGCCTCAGAGTCACAGAGTGACAGCTGGAGCTAGTGGGGGGGTGGGTAGTATGAGGTGCTGGCCTGGGAACTGGGGTCTGGGTTCTGCTTCTGACTCTTTCCCTCTCTGGGCATCAGTCCTCACCTATGTAGAGTAGACATTCAGACTGGTACAGTTGATCCAGGGACCTCTTTGAGATTCTGACAACAGATAAACCGTCCTTAGAAAAATGCACACAAAAACTTTCAAGCATCCAATAAATCAATTAAAAAAAAAAAAAACACCCACAAACGTTTCAAACAGACTTCTGGGCTTCAAGACAGTGAAACCTCCCTCTTTCTAAGTCAAGAAGCCCCAAGCTGGGGCTAAAAGTTCCACTAAAACTCCCAGTTCAGATGGTCTCGTGGGCTCTGGTCTCCTGCTTTTCAGTTCAGTGCCTGTTTCCTGGGATCTAGCCCCTGCCCCCGGGGAAGGGCTGAGCTCCCCCTCCCTCCCCAGGTGGTGGCTATCGTGATGGACATATTCACCGACATGGAGCTTCTGTGTGACCTCATGGAGGCCTCGGGCCGGCGTGGTGTCCCCGTCTACCTGCTCCTGGCTCAGGAGCACCTAAGACACTTCCTGGAGATGTGCTACAAGATGGACCTCAACGGAGGGCACCTGCTGGTCAGCGAGGGATGGGGCAGGAGCCAGGGCATGGGGTGGGGTGGTCCATGAGCACTGGGAGTCAATGGGAGGGGAGCCGGGTTCTCTTAGCTCTTTCTGGTCAGAGACTCCATGGGACTTAGACATGGCTTGAGCCCCGATCTCTCAAGGTTACCCCCAACCCCCTTCCCTCCTTGGCTCAGAACATGCGTGTACGGAGCACGTGTGGGGACACATATTGCAGCAAGGCAGGCCGCCGCTTCACGGGGCAGGCCCTGGAGAAGTTCGTCATCATCGACTGTGAGCAGGTGGTGGCGGGCAGCTACAGGTGAGTGAATGGGATGGGGGGTGGTGCACCTGGGCCTGGGCCATGGGCTGATGAGGCTTCCTGGGAGCTGGCAGCTTTGAATTGCCCTTCCTTCATCCATCCTTTCCAATATGGACTGAGCAGCCGCCTAATGTCAGGCATGGTGCAGGGCCCAGGGATCAGTGTGGGGAGCAAGAGAGCCCCGAGCTGGGGCCTGGAGACACTCACCCTGTGGTAGGATTACTTTAATGCCCCGGCACAGAAAATGTTGTTGTTGTTTAGTTGCTAACTTGTGTCCGACTCTTTGTGACCCCATGGACTATAGTCCGCCAGGCTGCTCTGTCCACAGGCTTCTCCAGGCAAGAATACTGGAGTGGGTTGCCATTTCCTTCTCCAGGAGAATCTTCCTGACCCAGGGATTGAACCTGTGTCTCCTGTCTTGGCAGGTGGATTCTTTACTGCTGAGCTACCAGGGAAGCCTAGAAAATGTTGGTGTTGGCCAAAAAGTTCATTTAGGCTTTCCCATACCAGTCTATGGAAAAACCTGAATGAACTTTCCGGTCAACCAATAACCCTTGCACCTTGGAAATGGAGGGACTTCAGGGAACCTAGCCCTCGGTCCATTTTACACATGGGGAAGTTGAGGCCGCGATGGGAAACTGTGTGTCCAAGTCCACTAAACCGAGCAGCACAGACTCTGGAGTCAGAGCTCTGCCCCTCACCTGGGCCCTCGCAGTGGTTGTGGTGGTGGTGGTTTTGTCTCCCTCCCCTGGTTGTGACTCCTGCCTGGTCCCAAGGGCCTTCACTTTGCCTCCTGACCCTGACTCTCTGCCCCCAGCTTCACCTGGCTTTGCAGCCAGGCCCACACGAGCATGGTGCTGCAGCTGAGGGGCCGCATTGTGGAAGACTTTGACCGGGAGTTTCGCTGTCTTTATGCCGAGTCCCGGCCGGTGGAGGGATTCTGTGGAGGTGAAGATCCCCCGTCCCCCAGGGCACCGTGCCCTCCCCCAGTGGCCTTGGCTTTTGGGCCAGGAGTCCCCAGTACCACATCCTCATCACCCTCCAGCACCAGCCTCAGCAGCATCAAACGCTCACCTCACATGGGCCACTCATACCTCGCTCTGCCAGGAGGTGGTGACCGCACTGACATGGGTGTGGGGTCCTCATCCCCCGGCCCTACCCGCTGTGAGGCTGATGGCCAGCCCTCCCTGCAACGCCAGCTGTCAGACCCTAACCATGGCCCGCTGCTAGGGCCCTACAGGGCCAACCTGAGCAAGCTGGGGGCGTCCCCCTGGTGCCAGTCTTCCCCTGCCCTCAACCACAATAGCACCAGCCCCGTGACCCTGGGAGGGGGCTCACCTCTGCTTGCTTGCTCTCGCCCTCTCCTCCCCTTTCCCTGGAGTGTCTCAGCTCTGCCTCGGTTCCCAGAGAACGGGGTCCCAGGAAGCCAGGAGCCTAGCCCCTCACGAGGCCGCTGGGTACCCAGCACAGCCCTGGAGACACTGGAGGAGAACAAGGCGTCTCTGAGTCAGAGCCATGGCCAGCTGGATCTCCTTGGTCCCTTCCCCAGAGCACGAGAAGCAGGAGGCCCTGATTTGGGGGTGGGCCGCAACTCAGGCTCTCTTTGGCCTGGTGAGAAGGCCCCAGAGGACAGGAGGTTGGCCCCAAATCAGAGATATAACCAACTGGATTTCCTGCCCCAGGCCCAGGCTGCCAGGGGAGCCCCTGAGTCAGGCTCACCCAAGGTTGGCAATTGGACCCCAGAGGACAAGAGGCTGTCCGCAAACCATAGCCATGGCCAACTGGACCTCCTGGTGCAGTCCCCCCAGGCTGGGGGCTCCAGAGTGCCCCCTGAAGCCAACTCTCCAGCCAGCGCTGGCAAGCCGGGTCCAGATGAACGACGGCAGACCCTGGGCCACAGCCAGCTGGACCTCATCACAAAATTTGGTCCATTCCGGGGTGAGGGGCCTGGGCCCAGTGATCTCCCTAGGCCGAGCCCTGCTCGAAAGGCTGGAGTGGACTTGGGGGAGGAGAAGCGGCGGACGCTGGGCCACAGCCAGCTGGACCTCATCACCAAGTATCATCAGTTGCAGGGCAGCAGGCAGGGACCTGAGCCCGGCCTCTCTGGGGGCCCTGCGGGTGGCCATCCCAATGGCAACAGCAATGGCCTGTCTGAAGATGAGAAACGGCGGACCCTGGGTCATAGCAAACTGGACCTCATCACTAAGTACAACAAGTCCAAGTTCAAGTTGCTCCGAAGCCGCTTTGAGACCTAGTCGTGCTCCCAGAAAGGGACATGTCTGTCTTCCACCTACTGTGACCAGATTTGTTCAGGTCCCAGACTCTGGGGGGGAAGCTCCGGTAGGAACTGTATGGGGAGAGGGATCTAGAAGCCCAGGTTAGACATTCCCTGGGCTTGGGATTCTTGTTCATATATGCACATGCACACATATGGGAAAATGGAATATACAGTTACCGGGCACCTGCCACTTGTCACTGTGCTGGGTCCTCCATACTGGTTACTTCTCATCATTCATCCTCACTCACAATATCCTACAAGACAGATTCTGGTAGGTATACAATTCTGGTAGGTATACAATTCTAGGTATCATCTTCCCTATAATATAGATAAGGAAGCTGAGATCTAGCAAGTTTGATGACTTTCTTGGAATCAGGTCCAAGTGACTGACAGGGGCTCAAATCTTTATTTCTTACGATTTTGTTTTTGCACAGACGGGACATACAATATCAATAGTTCCCATGTCCTCATACACACAAAATCCATATATCACAGAGGTGCCTCAAATACCTGCACAATGTACACTGCACACTGACAGGGTTCACACCCACAGACACGATCCATGTGATAAGCCAGAACACTCAGGATTCTAGTTGTAGGTACTCAATAAATGTCACTTGGCTAAATGAATCCAGTACACATTCGGTATACACTGTAGACCCTTCAGGATCCACAGACTATAAATATGCACATAACCACACACACACACACACACACACACACACACACTCATGGGCATGCATGTACCATCCAATAACTTTTGGAACCTAAAGCTGTGTATCCAGTCCTGTGCTGGACACACAACAGGGCTCCCAGTCCCTGGAAAATAAGGATTCAGTGCAAACATCATTGGCGTTTCTAATGAAAGGCTAACCAGTGACAGAAGGTGGTAGAGAATGAAGGCCAGAGAGTGGTGGTGATGATGGAGTGCTGAGAAAAGTTTCTTAGAGGAGGCAGCCTTTGAGCCAAACCTTGAAAGGTGGGAAGGACTTGGATAGGTGGAGGTGAGATTTAGAGGAATTCCTGGGAGACGGAACCAGGTGAAGAGAGACCAGGGAGAGGACTGAGGGAGTGGGTCTGAGATGAACTGAGGAGGATGGAGAGGACACGGATACTCAGATTCTAACACACACACACACACACACAATCATCTTGTTTAGTGTCGCCAGAAGTATAGGCTGTCAGATGTGGGTCCCTCTCCTGAGTTGCGGCCTGCTTGGGAGTGTATTTGTGATACAAATCAATAAAAGTAGACAAGCTTGGACTCAGAGGCTGCCTGGTGTATCCTGAGAAGGCTGAGTTACGACTATGCAGGTGAAGGACAGGGGAAAGGCATCATTCGGGCCTTTCCCTGGAGGAAAGTGGATGGCTGTAGGAGGGTGGGGGTGGCAGGGGGCAGGGTAGGAAAGGGGGTCCAAGCTTCCCTCTGCTCTCACTGAGAGTGACACCCTGAGAGACTCTGGGCTTTTGTTCAAAGTGTGGGCCAAGTTCATCTGTCCACCAAAGCATGTCTCTTGACTGCCACCATTTGTGGGTGGGGTGGGACGGGGGCAGAAATTGGCCTGCTGAGTGTGATCAAGCCTATGCAAAGGGCACAAGTGGAAGCCATCAGCCCCCAGACCCTTGCCCACTCTGGATGCCCCCCCTTCCCTGCCCCCCGACACTCTGCTTCATCCACCATCCTCTCTCCAATACCTTCAGTAGGATGATTTCCTTTACTTCTCTGGCTGTGCCTCCTCCTCCAGCCTCTGTCACTTCTCACTCCTCCCTAATGGACACCTTCTCCATGAATGACCTCATCCACCCCAGGCTTCGGCCCCACATCTCAGCCCTTCAGTCTCCCCTGGGCTCCATATTCGGCCTGGAAATCTGTCCTGTACCTTACTCTGTCCCTCACCTCCCCTACACCTTCTCTTCCTCCCCAGGCTTAACTTCAATAAATATATCTCCAGCATCAACCCATCTTTTGCGAGACATCCTGGCTCCTCCATTCTGGTACCTCACATCCAATCAGCACAGGTCTCTGTCAGCTGTTCCTCCTATAAAGCTCCCGATTGAATGAATGAATAAAAGAATGAATGAGAAGCTTGCTGGAGGCGGGGCCAGGAGGGGGTCTGGCCGGATCACTTGCAACCATAGAGTCCGCTCAGGGGCTGGGAGCTAGAGTGGCCGCATGCGTGGAGGCGTGCGCCCCGCTCTATCGGAAATCCCCTAGGGCGGAGGCGGAAACGGAAACCTACCGAGGGCAGAGGAGGGCTGTTGCCGCGTGTGGAGGTTGCGTTTACCTGGTGAGCGGTTGTGGCTGGACACCGGAAGAGTCAGCTCGGGGCGCCCTGAGTCGTGAGGGGTGGGGGCCGGAGGATTCGGGACCAGAGAGTCTGGATGCGCGCGGTGGGCGGGACCTGAGGGCTGAGTGCTGAGGGGCGGGGTTGCAGTGGGGCTGACGCGCGGAGGCCGGGGGACGGTGGCCCGGACCCGGCTTCGAGGCCGAGGCACCCGGTTCCGGGAGAGGATCCACAGGCCCTGAACTCCAGTCCCACAACCCCTAGGCCTCATGGCGGTCCGTGCGTCGTTCGAGAACAACTGCGAGATCGGCTGCTTTGCCAAACTTACCAACTCCTACTGCCTGGTGGCCATCGGAGGGTCGGAGAACTTCTACAGGTGCCGTGCAAGCCCCGGGCCCCCGGGCAGTGTGTGGGTGGGTGGCGGGTAGAGGTCGCTGGAGTCGGGCTCCGGCAGAGTAAGGACGGTTCGGGCCCCTCTGCCCCGTGATCATTGAGTCCGTGTCCCCACAGTGTGTTCGAGGGCGAGCTTGCTGGTACCATCCCTGTAGTGCACGCGTCCATCGCCGGCTGCCGCATCATCGGGCGCATGTGTGTGGGTAAGCCAGCTGAAAATCACCGAGGGAGGGAGTGGAGCCCCCCCAGCGCCTTTAATCTTACCCCTAGAAGGGACCCGGAGGACCCAGGGATTTCTAGGCTTTCATCCATCATCTCCAGCGACTCCAGAATCTCTCAGTTCTGTGCCGGACCCGGTTTAAGTGTCAACAGATCAGGGACAACCTCTGGCAAAGGTTTCTGGATCATTGTAATCAAAACGTTAAGGGCTTTCACTTTTACAGTTGTTTCAGTCCTTCTTCACTGAAGACCCTGGCAGGTAGGAATTACTGGCCTAATTTAATTGATGAGGAAGCTGAAAAATCAAAGAACCCAGGTGACTCACCTGGTTCCACACCTAGTGTGAGGGAAGTTTGGATTGTCATCTCTCCCTCCCTGGCCACTGACTCTGGTAGATTGCTTCCTCTTTCTGAAGGTCCATTTCTACCTCTAAAAAATGACAAGCTAAGATTCTGGGGCATCCTGTGCAGTTAGCTTTTTAAAGCTTAAGTTCTATTTAGCAGGTACCCCTATATCCATCAGCACTGTTGACTCTGGCCATTGGTCCGTCCTTTGAACTGGCTCCGTTTTCCTTTACCGCCACCCCTTATTTGTAGTTCTACTCAAAATAGGAGTTTTTCCTTTATTTTTTATTGTAAGCTTGATGATCTTGGACTCTTGAGTGTTTCTTATTCAGGCAGAACACTCTTATCTCTGGACTTGGTGATCTTTGGACTTGAAGCTAGTTCTTATGTAATAAGAGAATTTAGCCTGACCATTGGTTTTTTTTTTTTTTAAAGGATGGGAGAAACTCATAGTTCAGAAGTTCACAGTTGTGTTTTTGCAGAGTTAGGCAGAGGTTTAGTCATTGTTGTCACAATATAATTATAGTTCATTCATGTTTCTGTGTACTCAGTTTTGTGTAAATGTACCACAATGTATTCATTCATTCTGTTGACAGTGGATATTTGGGGTAGTTTTCAGTTTGATCTATTATGAGTAGTGCTGCTATGTTTCTTAGTGAACAAATGTATGTATTTCTGTTGGATATATAATATCTGGGAGAGGAATGGCTGGGTATCCAATGTAATAGATGACGTCACATAAGTATCTGAAGTTGTTGCCCAATTTACAGTCCTGTTGGTTGCTCCATATATCTTTGCCAACCCTTGGTGTTGATGTTCTTTTTAAGAATTTAGCCGTCTGGTACGTATGAAGTGTTACCTCAGTTATTAAGTAGCGAAATATACAATTAATGCCCAAGAGCCCTTCCTTTTGGTCCTGGTCGTCCCTGGTAGATGATGGTGAATTGGACAGGATGTTTGGGACAGACTCCTAGGCCATCTCTGGCCTGCCTAGTGGGACTCCTGGTTCCCTGGGGACTGTGTGGCTCAGTGATTTGAAGAACTGGGGTCTGGATTCTAAAGCTTTCCTGGGGAGGCCACCTGGACTGGGTTGTATCTTCAGGCCCCAGTGCTCAGCAGGTGTCTTGTGAATTAACAGTTCATCCTTACACAACCTGCCCTAATTTGGGTCTCTCCAGGGAACAGGCATGGTCTCCTGGTGCCCAACAACACCACTGACCAGGAGCTACAGCACATTCGCAACTGCCTCCCAGACAGCGTGCAGATCCGGCGGGTGGAGGAACGGCTCTCAGCCCTGGGCAATGTCACCACCTGCAACGACTACGTGGCCTTAGTCCACCCAGACCTGGACAGGGTGAGGCAGCCCAGTTTACCCCAAGAGTCACAGGATATTAGCCTAGTCAGTGGCTAGCCACTGTTCTTGCCTATCAGGCAGGAATTTGGGGTATCTCTTGTGGTTTCTCTTTATACCTGGACTCCTGCAGTTCAAGCACTGGTTGGAAGAGTGAATAGAGGCCTTTCGTGATGTGACCAGCTAGGGAAAAGAACCTAGGGAGTGTATTAATCCTCCCTGTATTAATCAGGGAGATTGACTCATTCAGTCTTGCAGCCAGGGCTGGAGAGAAGATTGACAGTTGAACTCTTGCCTGTGTGTTAGAGGGAAAGAAGGTGATGTGGAGACCAGCCTCTGGCTCTTCAGGGCATGCATGGCTTTGTAGCTGGCCTTGACTCTGCTGCAAGCTGTAGTCCCTCCTTTTTCTGGGAGAAGCTTCCATATGCAGCTGCATAGCAGAGGAATGAGCTTAGGGAGTCACGCCCTGGGTGGGTCTGGGTGTGGAGGCCCAGGATACTTTGATCTGCTTGTTCTGGGTGCTAAGCACAGTACCTTTGGCTAACAGGAAACAGAAGAAATCCTGGCTGATGTGCTAAAGGTGGAAGTCTTCAGACAGACAGTGGCTGACCAGGTGCTGGTAGGAAGCTACTGTGTCTTCAGCAACCAGGGAGGGCTGGTACATCCCAAGACTTCAATTGAAGACCAGGATGAGCTGTCTTCTCTCCTTCAGGTCCCCCTTGTGGTAAGCAGTCATGTTCTCTGACCTGTTTTCTGCTGGAGTAGATCCCTTTGCCCAGTATTTAGGAATCTGGGTTATTACGTGTCACAGTTTGGGGTTGAGGCTGCGGGTCAGAGACCAGGGATTGGGGAGAGTCCTAATGACTTTGGCTGTTGGTACCATGATCCACACTGAGCCATCCTTTGGCAGGCGGGCACTGTGAACCGAGGCAGCGAGGTCATCGCTGCTGGGATGGTGGTGAATGACTGGTGTGCCTTCTGTGGCCTGGACACAACCAGCACAGAGCTGTCAGTCGTGGAGAGTGTCTTCAAGCTGAACGAAGCCCAGCCTAGCACCATTGCTACCAGCATGCGGGATTCCCTCATTGACAGGTATCTGGGCCTTTCTTCTGTTGAGGGGAGGGGAGGGAGATGCCGGCTATAATGGGAGCCACACTGTTCATACCAGTAGGCTCTCCTCTGTGAGGCTACATCCACACAGTGCTGAGTAGCCACAGGGTACAGTCCACAAGCATTGCCTGAGTATCTGCTCATCCCCATCTTGGAGGACGTTGACTCAATGTATCCCTTCTTTAGGCTGTCTTGCTTTATTGCTGACCACCTTCTTTTAAGTTTTTAATCTGCCTGTGTGTTGGTGTACTCAGCCAGTAGCCTGAGACAGGAAAGATCTTTTTATTGAGGGAAGAAGGGAAGGCTACTTTGGTTCCTAAGGGACTTGGGGGTGGATGTGGCGAGTGCATCAGAATCACCGTCATCTGTACTTCAGTGGGTTTAAATCAAAAGTGGGTTCTTGAGCCCTAACTCTGGAGATTTTAGTGTTAGGCTCTAGAATCTCCTCCTTTGGAAGAGCATCAGGTGCTGGATGTTTAGTACCCCCTCCCCCATTGAGGATCCTTCTCAAGGCATGCCATACCTAGCTGGCACAGGAGTCTTTATGAGGATAGAAAGTAGAGTAAGGGCCTAGTAGCAGACACCCTCCTTAGTAGGGCCTAAATTTCCCTTCATTTTCCCACCTTCATTCATTCAGTCACCTGATGTTCATGGAAGCCTATGAACAAGGCTCCATGTGGGATAGTCAGGCAACTCAGTGCTACATCCTGCCTCTGAGAGGGACTCAGTGTGTAGCTGGGGAGAAAAGACCTAATGGCTACATATAACTCAGCTTCCATCAAAGAAGAAATAAAAGGCGCCTTTTTGTGGCTTTGGAGGCTCCCATGAGACACTTAACTGGAGTCCAGGAAGGTTTTAGGAAAGACAAATCAATCAGCCTGGGCTTCAGGGAATAAGTAGGTAATTGAATATGCAGAGATAGGGTGGAGAAGTGTGGAGGGTGTGAAGGGGAAAGGTTTTATCCCCAGGGCTGAGGACTCTGAATGCCCATGTCCAGAAGTTTTGACTGTAGTAAGTGTTTTGACCTCTGTTCTGTGTTGGGGATGCTTATTAATGTAGATTCTTGACATCATCCTTCAAATCCTGATTCCCTCAATTTGGCGTAGGATCCAGCCACGTGTAGTTATTTTTTAATACCTACTATGTATCAGACAATAATGATGTGATGAATAAAATATACCCTCCCTCCCCTTTTGGAACATTGACCCTCATAAAGAAAACAGTACTTCTACAATTAACCATTTAATTAAAGAATAAAACAGAAACTTCTTAGCAACTGAGAACAGAAAGAAATTTCTGTAACCTAATAATTTGGGTCAGTTCAGTTTAGTCGCTCAGTCGTGTCCGACTCTCCATGGACTGTGGCATGCCAGGCTTCCCTGTCCATCACCAACTCCTGGAGCTTGCTAAAACTCATGTCCATTGAGTCGGTGATGCCATCCAACCATCTCATCCTCTGTCGTCCCCTCCTCCTCCTGCCTTCAATCTTTCCCAGCATCAGGGTCTTTTCCAATGAGTCAGCTCTTCGCATCAGGTGGCCAAAGTTTTGGAGTTTCAGCTTCAACCTGATAATTGTTACCTACTAAAAAAAAACTACAGCAATGTTGTATTTAATGGAAAAACTTCAGAAACTGCCAGGCAGAACTGCCTACAGGCAGTGGCACTGGTCAGCATTGTACTTTTTAAAAATGGGTATTGATAAAGAAGTGACAAAACTCATTAGACTCCTTTGGCTTTGAACCTGTTGAGTTTGAGGTGCCCATGAGACCTCACAAGGACGGTGTCAGATAAGGGATTAGAAATGTGTACTTCAGGCAGTTCCCTGAAAGCCCAGTGATTAGGACTCACTGCTTTCACTGCTGAAGGCCTGGGTTCAGGCCCTGGTCAGGGAACCAAGATCCTGTAAGCTGTGAGGTGCAGCCAAAAAAAGATGTACTTCACTTTCACAATCTTGCAAATGATCATCACCTCCAGGAAGAATGTTCTGGCCTCAGTCCTGCCACTAGAGGATTTGTGACCTAGGATTTGTGTCTCTTTTCCCTCTCTGAGCGCCCCCTCCCCCTTGTCTAATTTAGTCTGTTGGATTTGACCTGTGATGCTCTGATTATGATCAGCCATTTGAATAAGTTATTTTGAGTTCACCCCCTTGAGTGGAGGAGTTACTTTTCCTTTTTAAGCATTGAGAGTTCTGGACTGGATTGTTACTCCTGGGAGCAGTGGAATCTGGAAGGGGCTCTTCAGGGCAGAGCTGGAATAGAGGTCCTGGGGTGAGGGTGGAGGCAAGCACCTTGAGCATGGAGGGTGAGATGTGCTCTGTGAAGCACCTACTGACAACACTCCTTCCTCTCTCTCCAGCCTCACCTGAGTCACCTTCCATACTGTTCCTGGCTTGGACTTTGGCTCCCTCTCAGTGTTCCACCCAGTCTGTCCTGAATCCTGGCAGGGTGGTGGCAGAGAACTCACTTGGACTCGTGGCTGTATGCCCAGCCATTCTTCATCTGTGCCCATCTCCTGAATCTATAGTTACTGCAAAAATCTGCCACATCATGCTGGCTGGCAGGTCCTATGGCTTCTGGCTAAGAGCTCTGTTGTCTGTGCCACCCCATTAAAGGGCAGCTTCCTCTGGTCACTCTGAATGTGTTATTTGGGGATTTCAGCCTGCACTCAGCCCCCTCATCATTGTTCCAGGGGGAAGGTGGAGTAGGATGCACACATCCCATAGTTTTACAGCCCTGCCCCCCATCATTAGATGGGCAGCTTCATCCCAGGGCAAGAGAAAGAAACCCTCCACTACACTCCTGTTTTCCACACAACTTCAGCCTCATCCTTTTGGCTTCAAAGAATGAGTCTGTTTCAGCTCTCCCCTACGCCAGTGTGAGGATCATGAAGGGCTTTGGGTCACCTGGCCACGGGGCAGCCTTGTCCTCTTTGACCCGGAGTGGTGGATGGAGGTTGTTGGCCTGACTGCTAGGTGCCCTGGACAGTCTCAGACTCATCTCCCGCCCTTTGCCTTAGGGCCTTGGGTGCGTGTGGAGCCAGCCTTGGAGAGGCGTGGGTAGTTGGGGCGGATCCCAAGTTGCTCGCAGGGCGGGGCCCCGGGACTCGGGGACAGGTTTGGCCAGTTGCTGGTGGGTGGGGTCGGGTACGTTGGGCCCCGCCCCTGCGTCCTGAAACCTTCCGAGGCGCTCAGGGGGCGTGGTTCGTGCGCCGTGACGTCAGGACGGCGGTGCCTCCAGACGCCGCTGCGCGGGCGAGCGGGGAGCGGAGACGCGGGCTGGGACCATTCTGACCTGAGGCTCCGGCGGTGCGAGGTGAGGGGCGGGCCCCAGCGGGGCGGGGCGGGACAGGGTTGGTGTGCGGCCGGCCCCGCACCTGATGGGCCTCTCCTTCTGCAGAACATGGGCGCTCAGCTGAGCGGTGGCCAGGGCGCCGCGGACCCGCCGCAGCCCCAGCCGCAGCCCCAACCCCAGCCTGCGGCGCCGGAGGGCCCTGCTCGGCCCCAGCCAGAGCCCAGCCCCTGGGGGCCGCTGGACGACGTTCGCTTCCTCATCGCCTGCACCTCCTGGTACTGACTGGCTGCCCTCTGCAGTTAGCACCCGCCGCCTCCTGTCGTCCGGCCCGCTTCTCCTGGTCGGGCCCTTGTCTTTCCCCACCTTCGCCCACCCTGGAGGCGGGCGGAGAGTCGGGGAGCCCGAGGGCGACTGGAAGGAAGCCTCCGCAGCCTGGCCTCAGGGCGCCGTCTTTCCTCTGGCCCTTCCCTCTACCCTGGTTCTGTTCGCTTCTTAGCCTGCACCCAGAGTCGCTCAGACCTTCGTGTTCTTGCCCACCCCACAGTTTATCCGGCCGTCCGGGTCCTGGGGCAGGCTTCCTGCCTGTCACTGGCTTCCAGAACCAGGTCAGGACTGTTGGTAAGAAGACCCCAAGGCTACTGACCTCACCTCACCTCAGTTTTCCCTATCACCAAGAACTGGGCTCTTTCTTTTGTCTTGGTCATAGCACCTTGGATCTTGACTTCAGAAAAGACCTTGCCGCAGTGAACCTGCCCATCCATACCTCTTCTGGGAGAGGCGCCATCCTGGGTGTCCACCCTGGCATTATCCGGTTGTATCACTGGGACCCCAGTCACAGAGGGCCTCCAGGGCCAGCCTTTTGGAGAGAGAGGGCATCTGATTTTTGGGGGCTGGCAGATGAGATGTGTGGGGCAGCTCCCAGACACCCCAAAGCATCCTGTCTTCCAGAAGCTTCTTTAGGCCACTCAGAACCTGATCCCTGTTCCTACAGTCCAGGGAAATGACACACTCTGTATTTTTGTTTTATTTAGAAATGATTTAAAAAACATTATACAAAGGCTGATCAGTTTAAAATGTGACTGACACTGAAATGCTGTGATGTTCCCCAGACTGAGGGGAAGCTGGGCTCTGGGGTCCCCAGTGCTTTGCCCCTCTGTCTGTCTGCCCTGTCCTGGGATGATGGACAAACAGATGACACCAAGGCAGGAGAATCCATGACTGGAAGCCTCCAGGCTAAGCCTTCTCTGGGCCTGGCCCTGCGTCCCTCACATCTGCAGCCTGGGCTGCCTGCCTCCATCTCCTGCTCTTTTTCAGCTGACCTCAGTAGTACCAGGAGCCAGTGGGGAGCCTGGGGGGCCTAGAGCTTTCGCGAAGTGAGAGCACCAACCTGAGGAGTGGAGAGGGACCAGGGAAGGGGAAAGGGAGGCCGAGGAAAGACAGATAAAAGAGACACTTCAGATCTCATCTTGGACCCTGGAGGGGTCCACAGGTGGGGACCCAATGCCCGGCAAGCCCACTAAATGGCCTGGGCAAGTAACAGCCTCTCTGTGCTGTGTTTGAGGGCACAGTGAGAGTTATCCTTGGCCTCCCAAGGACTACATGAATTACATGTGAGTGGACAGGGGTGAGCTAATAAAGTGCTTTGCAAAGTATAAAACACTGTACAAACCTATGAATCACTAATATCTCCGCAGTTGTTCCCCACCCGCCCCAGGGAGCCCGCCCTTGACCAAAATGAGAAAAAAAAAAAACAGAAGGATGATGACGGAACACAGTGGACCCATAAAGGTGTCTCTGGGACAAGAGAGATTTTGCTCAAGATGGCTCCCAGAGGCCCTGTCTGCTACAGGTTAAGCAGACCCAAAGCTCAGAGGCCACAGGGTGGGGGGCAAGGCCCGTGCAGGCTCAGAGGCACTGCCAGCACCCCCAAAGACTGATATCTCCTCTTGGATTTGGCAGAGAGCCCATGGACATCATTGAGCCCATTGGTCCTGCCTCTGGCTCCTTAGCAACAAGCAGGTCTGCCTCTTGCTGGGTTGGTGTGAGGCAAACCGAGCCCTAGGAATTCCTGCCAGAGACAGTGAAGGGCAGGCCCCTAGGCTTGGGGCTATTAGCAGTTATGGGTGCAGGGTGGTGGGCCCAGAGAGCTGGGTTAGCAGGGGCCAAGCTCATGGTATAAACACTGCTTCTGGGCTGAGAAATTGAGTTGGTCTCAGGGCACCCAGGGGTGCGGGCTCTGAGCATTTCAGAAGACTGCCCTGGGCCCCTTCCCCCAGGGTCATGAGAGTGTTGGTCTGGAGTCATTTCTCTCTCACCTAACCAATCAGGCTGAGCTCTCAGGTCATAGGCAACAGGCTGGAGCAGGGCAGGGACTTAGGGAATGGTGAGAGAGATGGGAGAGTAGAGGACAGCTACGAACTTAGGTCAGCCTCCAGAGCGGTCAGCTCCTGCTCCCACCCGGTAGCCTCATTAGCAGGGCCCGGCTCCTGGGGTGTCGGGACACTGGAGTGGCCTTAACAGCACCTTAGTCCTTATCGCTGGGGGGAGGGCTGGCCTCGCCAAGACAGTCACCGCTAATTCACCTAAAGCCTCAAGCAGCCTTTGCAAAATGGGACTTTAAACAATAGTGACAGGATATTGAAATATTCACGACGTGACAGCTGGGTCCTTGTCAGATCCAGCTGGGCCACAGCCCTGCCTGCAGCATGTGACCCTAAATTCTGGGTCTCCGAGGAGACCCTGACTTGTGGAGCAGGTTTCCTGAGGGATCTGCTGTGGCCAGCAGGGGAAACCCAGGCTTGATGCCCACTGTGTCGGCGGCAGGGGTCCTGTAGCCGTGGAGGACAGTGGGAGTGGGGTGGGGGGACATCTGACCAGCAGGTGTTGGCAAAGGGGGACCAGAACTGGTGGCATCTCCCAGATGGGGCCGAGAGCTGTGCTGGCTTCCCACAGAAGGTGCTGGGTCCAGCCAGGTATGGCGCCGTGGTACCTCATGGACACCATGGGGCGCAGTGACCTCAGGGCTGCCTCCTGGCATGGGCCCTGCCTCCTGACGGGGCCTGGCCTGTTCCCTGGAGTAGGGAGCGGTTACCCAGGACAGAAGGCTGGCAGCTGGGCACCAGGCGCCCACCCTGGGGCACAGCCGCCATCACTCCCTGCTCCATGCTCAGCCCAGGCCAATGCACCACCACTTCAGCTACGTGACCCCTGGCCTAGGGCCCTGCTGGCCCCGGTGGGCTGTGGCCAGAGCTGCCCCTCAGACCCTGGTGAGGAAGGGCCTGGCCGGCCAGACTGAGTGGACAAAGAGGGCTCCGGGCTGCTCACACCCACTCCTGGACTGGCCGCTTATAGTAGGTGACAGGCTGAGGGCCCGCCTTGTTCTTGAACTGGAAGATGGTGTAGACCAGCACCAGGATGCAGAGGGACAGGATGCAGGGAATAACCACGGCCACCGCGTTGACAGAGCCCGGCACGTCGTTGATGGTCACCATGATGTCCACGTCGTCCTGGGGCAGCCTCCGCTCCTTGCGCCGCTCCGCCTCCTTCTGGTTACAGCCCATCCAGTCCCGCAGGATGTTGCGCGGGTAGCCTGGTTCCACGCTCAGCTTCTGGTTGTCAAACTTCCAGTAGTCCCGGCCCTTGTAGAAGTAGGTGTAATCTGTAGAAACACAGCCCAGCATCACCATCCCAGACACCCTTGCACCTGCTCTGGGCTAGCATGAAAAGGCACAGGGGCTGTGGCAGTGTGGAGGAGGGGGTACCTCTCCCACCCGGGAGGAGTGCAGAGCAGCTCCGAAAGCGGGGGTGGGCACACGCGGTGGGGGGAGCAGCGTGCTGGAACACCTGGGGTGCCTGGCACACCCCACGGAGGGTGTGGCTGGTCAGGGACTATGGCCTGCCCAGCTGCAGAGGCACCCAGACCCGGAGCAGCCCACCCTGTCATCTCAGGGGTGCTGGGGACCACTGAGGGGCTTCAGGTAGAACTGGTGAGTTCATTTTGTTTCCCAGACAAGGACCCTTCTCAGCCTGGGGTCTCAGCCCTGTTGTACTATGTCTATACCCCTCATGCCCCCCAACCCCCACATGGGTCAGATGAAACCCCCACTCAGGGCTTGGACAGCGCTGCCTCCACAGCTAGCTCCAGGGTTGTGCCTCAGCCAAGGAGCCAGAATTTTTTTGTCGACAGTGGACACCACCTCTTGGTAACTACTCTGCCTTTTTGGGGGCTTGGCACACGTGACTTCACAACACAGATTGCAGGGTCGCTAGGACCCTGCTGGGGGAGGGGATGGAAGGAAAGGAGGTAGCAGGGCTTGGCAGCCACCACAAGGCTCCCTGCAGCAGCCTTATCAGCTGAGTCAGTCCTGATGCAAAGCAACTGACTCAATGTTCTCCCATTGGCCGGCTCCTCACCCTGGCTGGGACTTTCATTGGCTAAGGTTCCTGATGTCACCTGTCTTTGAGGCTGCCCCGAAGAGTGAGGCCACAAGTGTAAAGCATCAGCTACACAGGAGAGCCACCAAATAGCAGCTCCACCCCTGTTAGCCCCTGTCTTTCTTACCGGAGACATCTCCTTGGAGAGCCCTTCCTGACAACCCTCTCTCACAAGGCCCTCTGCTCAGATACTCTCTCCCAAGTGCTTTCCCTAACTGCCTTTGTTGCCACCTTACTTGTTTTTTTGCCTCTAGGCTCGGAGCCATAGATGCAATGCATGTCTCATTCCAAGCTCCATCTCCAGCCCTCCCACACAACCTGACTCTCAGTAATTACTGTGGAGTGAATGAATGCCTCCTGTCATTCCATAAAAACTAAAACATCCCAACAAGATGATGATAATGATAACAGCTGAAACTTATGTGGCATGGGCCAACTGCTCTACGTAATTTATCTTCATCCTCACAAAGCTCTGTGAAGTAGGGACCATTATTATCCCCATTTTATAGATGAAGAAACTTAAGTGCTATGCCCAAACTCATATTGAGTAGTGGGGGAGGGATATGAAACCAGCCAGGCTGGCTCCAGAGTCTGCTTTTGACCAGATCAATGGAGATGAATTCAAACATTCATGGATACGTGCTCGGCACCTGGCAAGTCCCAGCCCCTCTTTTTTTCTTTTCTTTTTCTTTTTGGTTGTGCTGTACAGCTTGTGGGGTCTCAGTATTCCAATCAGGGACTGAACCCAGGCCCTCGGCATTGAAGTACAGAGTCCTGACCACTGGACTACCACGGCATTCCCTCAGTCCCTCTTCTTGACAAGCTTCTAGTCTAGTGGTGAGAGAGGCTCTGAGTCAGCCTGCCACCCAGGAGAAGCTTAGAAAATATCTCATACATTAAAAAAATTTTAAAAGGCTTCTCTCTGTTATCTTCAAGCCCTGTGAAAAAGCCCTTTGAGCCTCCACATCCATCATTTCAGATCTGATAACTCAAGGCACTCCTAGAGTACTCCTGAGGACCTCTGCTTGAGAAATGCTGCCTGAGGGAATGAAGTCAGTCTATGAAAACCTCTCTCAGTTGTGAATGATACCCACAGATGAGAAACTGTGACTTGGCAGCTGTTAAGAGAAGATTAAGTGACTGTGTTGAATGTGGGTCGATATGAGGTGGTTGTCTTTGCCACCAGGTGATATTTCTCAAACCTGGATACCATGAGAGTACTCTTCCTGTGGGCGGACCCCGATAAGACCTACACTAAACCAGATCCCCCCAAACCCGGCCGGGTTCTTACGTACATCCTTCCTTGCTGATGAAGGCCCCTTGGGGAGCCTGGGGGATGCCCTTCCACACGGTGATGGGCTTGGGGTAGCCGGGGTCGGTGGCCCGCCGCTCCTCGCTATAGCGCCAGTACCGCTCGCCTTTGAAAAAGTAGGTCTTGCCCACAGGTTCCCAGCGCAGAGCTGTATCAATGCCTTCTCGGGGCAGACAGCTGCCCAGCTCTCCCAGACTGTGGGGGTACCCGGGCTCCACCGTCACCTCCTTAAACACCCAGTACTTGTCACCTGTGGCCAAGAGGAGCCCAGGATTAGCTTTCCTCAGTCATTCAATGCCGGAGATTGTAGTTAGATCCACTTGCCCATCATCCACTGGGACCAAAATCATTCATGAAGCTAGTGTCAAGGGGAAACAGCCCTAGGCCTGTTTGATCCCCATGGCGGGGGAGGCTGGGGCCCCTTGGCCCAGGCAGAGCTTAGAGGGCAAGAAGCCGGAATCTAGTCTCAGATCTTGGGCAACTCGACCCACGCTGCCCCAGGTCTATGCCCCACCCTCTTTTCATTTCATGTGACTTGCTCCTTTCTCCTTTCTGGGTGACCTCAGCCTCTCCTGGCTTCACACACACAAGTACTCACCTTCCACCAGTGACACCCAGCTCTGAGGCTGTGGCCCATGGCCGCTCTCCCAGTGGCCTTGGGCCCCAGGCCCAAGACCCTGGTTGCCCACCGACCTCTGGGAATTTCCAGGTCTCCTTCCAGAGTTCCTCATCTCCACTGCGAGGGCTCCCTCCCTCACCCCCTCTCTGCCCTGCAGCATCCCCAAGAAGGTGGCATCACCCTTGGTCCTCTCTTTCCTCCTCCTCTCAGCACTCAGCCTCTTACAAGGCCTTTTCCATCTCCTGACCTCACTGCTCCTCCCGGCACAAGCCTTAGAGACATCGCCCTCCTCAATTCCAGCAACATCCTCAACTCCAGAAACGGCTTCTCACCTCTGCCCCAATTGCTGCCTGCACTCTGGCCCTCTGCCGCTCACAGACGAAGAGTGAATGCCAGCACTGACCTAATGGATCGAGACCACAGTCTGGCTGGGCAACCAGGGCTCTCAGGACTCTCCCCTAAACTACCTTTCCAGGCATGGCTCTTGCGTGCCACTCCATGGCCATCCAGTGGGTTTTCTAAAGGACTTGAACTACCCCTTTGGCCATACTCTTCCTTCCCCTTGGAATGCTTCCCTCGCTTCTCACTACCTGTATCTTACCCTTCTGAGGCCTGGCCAAGTCAACTGGAGTGAAACAACCCAGCACCTGCTGGGTGAGCCGGACAGCTAGCTCCGCTCCCGCATTCCCTGACTCTCCAGCCTGTGCGCCCCTCCCTCCAGCTCTCACAGAGCTCACACGGTGGCCTCCCGTGGAGCATGGATGCCCTGTCCACCATCCTCTACCCTGTGTGGGTGAGGCCTGTCACCCTGCCAACTCTGGCACATAGAAACCCTCAACGCTCACTCCCTGACTTCACTGCCTGCAGGGGTCTGTCCTGTCAGATGTCAGTGTTAGGGCTGGAAAGACCCTCGCAGGAGATCCACCCTCACCCCCCGCATCCCCCCCCCCCGGCCTCTTCAAAGGTAGAGAAAGGGCGTCCCGAAAAGGGAAGGGACTGTCCCACCCCTCCGCACAGACCATGTTACCTTTGAAGAAGACAAATCTTCCATCTGCCCTTTCATAGGCTGCATCTATGCGGGCGGGCAGGCCCTTCCAGAACTGCTCGATCTGCATGGGGTAGCCCTCCTGCACCCGGTTATTGCGCAGGCGCCAGAACCAGCGATCCTGAGGGTTAAAATGAGGAAAGAAAGAGGCATAGCCTTTGAACCCAGTGATCTGAGCCCTGGGACTCGGGGCCCAACAACCCAACACCTTCCCCTTGTCCCCCCCTTGCAAGCTTCCATGAAGTCTGTCCATTTACTGCATCTAAATTTCGGAGCCCAATGACGAAGCCAGGATGCTCATCGCCTCTCTTCAATAAGGCACTCAATGGCTCTTGTTGCCCAAGGGGCCGTGAGACAGAGTTGGTGGACAGACCTAGGGGGAAGAGGAGGCAGCGTGGAGGAGCTGGAAAGGATGATGCGGTGCCCGAGTTGACCACAGGAGGGCAGTGAAGAGTTACTGACATCAGAGGGGCCCTTCCCGAGGCTGGGCAGCAGGGGGCGCTCATTGATGCCGGGCAGAGTGCCTGCCTCATGGCTGGCTCCAGCTGGCAAGCTGGCTCCAGCTGGCAAGCAGCGCAAGGACCATGGGAAGCAAGCTGTGGAAATTCCCGCAAGCCCTGGCTGTGAGTTCAGGTTTATCCTCTTACAATTGCATGGCCTGGGGCTCAGTACATGAAGAGCTTCACCTGCCCTGTGCTGTGCTTAGTTGATCAGTCGTATCCGACTCTTTGTGACCCCGTGGACTGTAGCCCACCAGGCTCCTCTGTCCATGGGATTCTCTTCGCAAAAATACTGGAGTAGGTTGCCATGCCCTCCTCCAGGGGATCTTCCCAACCCAGGGATCAAACTCTAGTCTCCCGCGTTGCAGGCAGATGCTCTGCCATGTGAGCCAGGTAATAAGGGAAAGATGAGAGATTATAGGTGAAGTGCCTAGAACAGTACGGGGCACATAGCTGATGTTGATTAAATGGTAGCTCAACAGGCCAAGTGTGGAAAAAAGCCGTCCCCCACACACTGGTGCCTTGTCCTACTGCAGTTCTGGTTGGTAGGCACTCTGGGCGAGGCCTGTAACTTCCCAGAGCCTCAGTTTTCTTATGTGTCAATGGGAATGATACAACCCAGACTTGCTTAGGAATAATTCAGCTGGAGGATCTGAGGGTACAGAAGAATGAACATGATACATAAAAGATAGTTCAAAAGCTAGAGAAGATTTGATTTTTTTTTTTTAGGTGTTTTACAAAGCACTTTCACATCCAGCTTTTTAAACCTTATTTTGACTTTCACAACTCCTGTTAAGTAGATCTGAGATAGACAGAGTCTTAAGAAAGGCCTAGTAACTTCCTTTGAGCCTCACAGTCAGAGCAGGACTGGAGTGGACCTCTGACACCTGATTCTTGGTTAGAGCTCAAAGCTTGCTGGGGAGAATCCACAAGGGTGGGTGGGGTGGGGCAGCCCTCCACAATCCCCCAGTGTGCTGGAGACACGCTGCCCAGATCCCCGTCAGTGGAGGGCTTCTCGTCCTGGGGGCTGGGAGTGTGATCAGCAGGCGATTTTCACCTGTCAGCCTCTCTGGGGATGGCTCAGCTCCAGAGAGCTCCCCCAAGGTCACGGCCTCCTTTGTCCAGGGACTGAATAAAGTTCCAGCCATCTGGGGCCCAAGTGGGACAACTCTGATAGGCCGTTCTAGTTCCAGAGCTCTCTACGGGGGTGGCCAGGTCTGCAGTGGGTCTGTGAGTATTGTTCATTGCTCAGTCGTGTCCGACTCTCTGCGATCCCATGGACTAAAGCCCACCAGGCTCCTCTGTCCATGGGATTCTCCAGGCAAGAATACTGGAGTGGGTTGCCATTTCCTTCTCCAGGGGGATTTCCCCAACCCAGGGATCAAACTCGGGTGTCCTGCATTGCAGGCAGATTCTTTACCATCTGAGCCACCAGGGAAGTCCCTCTAGTGGGCCTAGTTGCTACTCAGTAATGTCTTCTCCTCCTGCCCCCCCAGGCCTCCCTCTCCTTCCCACAGATGTGGGTCCCAAAGGTGCATCCTAGTCAAAATCCTGCATCCCAGGCCTTCCCTGGCAGAAGTGGTTAAGACTTCGCCTTGCACTGTAGAGGGCATAGTTTCCATCTCTGGCTGGGGAACTAGGAGCCCATGTGCCTCGGGGCCAAAAGGCCAAAACATATAACAGAAGCAATATTGTAACAAATCCAACGAAGACTTTTAAATGGTCCACATCAAAATAATCTAAAAAACAAAAAAACAAAAAAACAAAAAAAACCCCCCTGCATCTCAAACACTGTCCCAAAGTCAGCTTCCCTGACAGCCCAACAGCAACACAGGAGCAGGCCGCCACCCTGCCAGCCCGTGGCTAGAGAGACCAGAGCAGGACAAGGGACATGGCCTGGCCAGCTTTCTGTCAGGGGCGCCTCAGAACCATCCTCGCAGCCCTGCCGGGACCCGGACACAGACTCAGCCACGGCTGCACCAGCCCCTACTCCAAGCCGCTGTTGTCACAGCCACATCTCAGGGGATCTGCACACACCCTTTGTTAGAGCAAATGACTCCCCCAGCTCTCAGGGGGAGAAACTGAGATCCAGACAACGGACATGACTTGCTAGAGTCACAGACCAGAGGCCAGTCTCCGGCACTTTTTCCCCAGCGTTGGACCCTGGGAAGGGGCAGGCTCACCCATCTTCCCCACTCCCTCTTGAAAACATAGTCCACTGACCCAGCAGCGCCAGGAAGACACCCCATGTCCTGGCCGCTGGACTTGCTCCCGTCCATCTGGGCCCCCCTGCAGGCCTAATCCCAGAGCAGCCGCTCTCTCCCACCCACGGTGGGGGAAGGGGTGGGAGGGGAGCTCCGAGGTCCTACCTTAAACACAAACATCTCGCCCCGGAAGAGGGCCACCGTGTTGAAGTTGCCGTCACAGATGTTGGGTTTGGCGCCTGGTGTGGCTGGCCGGTCCCCGAGGGGTGGCCGAGGGGGCCTGGGCTGGCGCTCATGCTTCCTCTCGGACGGTGAGTGGATCCTGCGGACCGGCAGCGTGGGGAGGGGCCTGGTGGGCTCCAGGGGCTCGGCCGGGGGTCCTGGAGAGAGGGGCTGCGTCTTAGGGTGGGGGCACTGCTGTTGCCACCGCATCGCCCAGGCAGTGTGAGACAAGCCTGTCACACTTCCGCCTCCTATCCTGTCCCCCCTCCCCATTGTTTACTGCCCCAATCTTTCAGAAAATAGATGAAAACGACCATTAAATGGGAACGCTCATCTTCCCACCCCCCAAAGCTGGGATCTCTTTTTTCCTGTTACGAGAGAGTAGGTATCCCTTTTTAGGCTCTGTGTCCCCTACCCTTCCTCCCTGCTCCCCTCTTTCTTCACCCTGCTCCAGTACAGCCTCTGCCCCGTCGCCCATGGAAACTCCTGTCTAGATCACCCATGACCTCCATGTTGCCAACTCCGACAGTCACTTGAGTCAGACTTTGATGTCCATATGAATCATCCAGGGGTCTTGATAAAAATGCAGACTGGGACTCAAAAGAGTATCTGGCGGTGGGGGTGGGGTGGGGCTGCCATTCTGCATTTCTTCAAGCTCTCAGGTGAGGCCAGAGGTGCTGGTCTGAGGTCCACACTTTGAGTAGCAAGATCATAGAGATGCTTTCCTTAGAACACTCCTCTGTTTTCCAGAAGCCTGCACTCTCTTGGTTTTCCTTCTGCCTCCGCGGACTGTTCCGGCTTTGCCTCTTTGCTGGTAGTCTTTCCTCATCCACTCTGCTCTCTGCTGGTCAGCACAGCCCTGGGCCCTCTTCCCATCTCTCTCTTTGGGTCCCTAGGAGCTTCTCAACTTGGGCTGCAAGGAGTAGGATTACCTGGAAAACTTTGAAAACCCTGATGTTCAGAAGGCACCCCAGACCAATTAAAAGCAACTCTCTGGGGGCAAAGCCTGAGTAACAGTATTTCTTAAAATTCAATTCCCAAGATGATTCCAATGGGAGGCCAAGTTGAGGATCACTGCCCTCCGTGATCTCTTCTAGGTTCTCGGCTGTAAAGACTGTCCCATAGGATGTTCTGTGATGACATAAATGTTCTATATCTGCACTGTCTTGTATAGCAGCCTCTAGCCACGTGTGGCTGTTGAGCACTTGAAATGACTGACTATTAGCGTGGCAGAGGAACTGAAATTTTAATTTTATTTAATTCTAGTAATTTAAATAGCCACATGTGGCTAGTGGCTACCATATTGAACACCAAAGATCCCAAATCAATATCCCAGCCCAGATCTCTGAGTGATAGGAGTCAATCCCGTTGCTCTGTAATTACAAAAGCCAGAAACCTTGGCATAATCCATTCCCTCACCCCCACGTCTACTCTGTCAGCAAATACGGTCCATTTTATTTTCAAAACACCTTGCAGTTCCCACCACCTATCCAGTCCTCCACGGCTTCACCTATGGAGATCCTACCCATCTTCCAGGCTTTGGGTGAGGCCACCTCCTCTGTGAGGTCCTCAGGGCCCCAGATGGAGCCCTCCTCCCACGCTCCACATCCTGGGGTCTGTGGGGGTCGTGTTATGCGGACATGCATCTGCTCTAATAAACGGGTCTTCCCGCCTCAACCACCTTGACAAGAACAAGAACTTCCCGCACCAGTGTGAACAGAGCATGGAATGGGGCATGGTAGCAGGCCCCCCAAATCTCATCAAGATATCAGCCTAGTTTCTTTTTTTCTTGTTTAAACAAAAGGCTCTGGTGATAATACTCATCCTGGTGTACCACCATTACTTGGGTGGACGTGTGAATCTCTTGGCTTGAGGTGGGACCCCTTGAGCGGGAACCGCAGAAGGTAAGGGCAGGTGCGTGGAGGGAAGGTAAGCGGAGGAGGGGGAATGGGTGGCCCGCTCGTCACTCTTGTCCCTCCCAGGGACAGCTTGGACCCTCCCCTAGGTTTCCCAAGTGTTCAGGAAGGGAGGTGGGGAGCAGCCTTGCCCTCTCTGGTTAAGCAAAGACACTACAGGTCTCTAAAGGTCAGACAGTGGTCAGAGACCGCAGTGCTCCCCAGCCTCCCCCTCCGCCCAGGCAGTGACAGCCCAGCCTCCAGGGCAGGAAGGGTGGGCCCTCTCCCCCCACACACCGTAGATCTTCTGGATGCCCTGGAGATCGTCCTGAGGCAGCTTGAAGTTGTGCGTCTCCATGTACTGGTAGAAGGGCGCCATGATGGCGCTGGGGTCGTTGGAGTGCTCGAGGCCCAGCGCATGGCCCAGCTCGTGCACAGCCACCAGGAAGAGGTCGTTCCCTGCAGAGGGCGAGACGGGGAGGTGCCCGGGGCGCCCACTTAGGTGTCAGCGTCAGTCAATCCATTACTTCAGCAACACCCGGCATAAACTTTGTCTCAGGCCCTGAGCCGGACACTGGGACATACAGAGAAATCAAGACATGTCCCTGCCTTCCAGAACTTTCCATACAGTGGCAGTGGTAGGGGCAGAGAAAAGAAAATAAGTGAAATTAGTGTTCCAGGGGCTTCAATAGCTGTCTCCAGGGGTCAAGCAAGGATTCTGAGGAGGAGGGAGAAGTTATTAACACTTGGAAGGAAGATGTTCAAGGGAGAGCTTCACAGAGGTGAAGCTTCAGGTAAGTCTATAAAGATAAGAAGTTAGTCAGAAGAATGGATTCAGTGGGAAGGAGAGGAAAAGGGGTGGGAATGGCCTTCCTGGCAGCAGGAATTCCTGTAAACAAGGTCCAGGGACAAGCAGTTTCATCCCACTTGGCTCCGGAACAAAGCAGGAGGGGAGGGCCAGAGGGAGATGAGGTCAGCCGGGCTGGCTGGCCGGGCTTGTGATGCCCGCTCAGGAACTCAGATTGGCTTCTTGGTCTGCGGGGGTTTGAGCAGGAGTGGGGGGTGGTGCATGATGTAATCACTTCGCAGTTGGAGGAAGGATCATTGGGTGATGAGACCAGAGGCGGGAGATCAGAGGGGTCTGTCTGAAAGAAACAAAGGGCCTGTGCCAGGAGGAGGGAGCAGGACAGGCAGAGGGGAGTCCTGGGGGCAGCAGGCTGGCCGTCATCTTCAGAGACCCGGGGTAGGTGGGACTTGGGTCACGCAGCTGCTGTCAGTCCTGAGGTCAAGATCAATGCGGGGATTCAGATGCCACTGAAAACAACAAGGTCCGAGAGCTGAAAGCGGGACGTGGGATCCCCAGTGTGAAGCTGAGGCAGCAACACAGCAGAGTGGTCATGAGCTGGGCCCCAGAACAGGACAGGTCTTGTTTATTTCCAGCTCTACCCTCCCCCTCACACCCAGCTTTGTGAACTTGCCCAGGTCTACCTCCCAAACCTGTGTCCTCATCTGTACAATGGGGAGATCATATCTACCCCACAGGGCTGTGGGAGGATTGGATAGAATAAGACATGTTACAGCAGTTGTCACCATGCAGAAGACAGAAGCTTGGTCCCTGGAACAAGCCCATTGACCAGAAATGAAGCATGAAGCCACTGGGGTTCCAGCAACCAAATCCTCTTAAAGTCAACTCCCCCAAGTGTCTTGATCAAGTCTGGGACTGGGCAGGGCCTGACTTTGCGAGGATGAAGTTGCCCTGGCTTTGGGAAAGAAATCCAAGGGGCAGGAAGTTGAGCAGGCTGGCATTTCAACAGTCCTGACTCATATGTGTCCAGTTACAGATTCCTGCTGGCCTCGACCTCTGGCAGTTGAATGTCCCTTGAGCCCTGCCTCTATTGTCCGGCCCTGCTGCTGCTGCTGCTAAGTCACTTCAGTCGTCTCCGACTCTGTGCGACCCCATAGACGGCAGCCCACCAGGCTCCCCCGTCCCTGGGATTCTCCAGGCAAGAACACTGGAGTGGGTTGCCATTTCCTTCTCCAGCCCTAACAGATGGTAAAGAATCTGCCTGCAATAAGAGACGTGGGTTCGATCCCTGGGTTTGGAAGATTCCCCTGGAGAAGGGAATGACAACACACTCCAGTATTCTTGCTTGGGAGATCCCATGGACAGAGGAACCTGGTGGGCTACAGTCCATGGGGTCACAAAGGGGTGGACACGGCTGAGCGACTAACCCTTTCACTTTCAAGGCATGTCACAGCCCGTTCCTGCCACCTTGAAGTGCAGGGGAGGCTGCTAGGAGCCCAGGAGGTGCTCAGGAGTCCTTGCACCCACTCCAGCCCCAGTGTCACTGATCAACTTGCCGTACGCCCACCTGGCTGAGGGTCCCCCAAGGGCCAGAGGAGGCCGGGGATTGCGTCTGGCCTTCCTGGCTGAGGTCTTGGGAGGAAAGAAGAGCCCTCTGGGGCACACATGCCTGCCTCCCGCGCTGCTGATGCCACCAGTGTCTTCAGCGAAGGGGGATGGGTAAGATCAGGGCAAGGTTGGCCAAGAGCCTGGGGCTGGCCTTCTGCTGGGGCAGGGCAAGCTGGCATGAGGAGGCCCGGCTGCCCCCAGTTGCTTCCTCAGGTCCTGGCCCCTCTGGCAGCGGGGAAGGGTGAGCTCATCTTTGAGCTCCATCCCAAACAAAGGCGGCTGCTAGCGCCAGAGGGAGGCAGCTCTGCTTCCTGGGGTCTAGTCCTGGCTCTGCTCCTGGCCTGTTCCACGACCTGGGACAAGCTGTTCGGGCCTCGGTCTCTTGACCGGGCTCTTCCTCGGCGGGTGGAGGTGGGAGGGCGTCCTCAGCTAACAACCAGGGAGCAGAGCCTGAGCACCTGGCCAGCCTCTAACCCTTGGTCCTGTGTCTATTACCTTGTGAGCCTCTGTGCTGGGTCTCGGCGGAGAACAGAAGTAAGTCTTGAAGGAAAGGGGCCTGTAGATTTGCTCCAGGGACCAAAATGGCAGAGGATAGCTGGGGAGCTGGCATACTACTCCACAGAAACCCGAGAGACCTGTTCAGTGTGGGGGACGCTTGGGGAGATGGAAGGAGAGAGGAGAGGGGCAGGAGAACTCCTGGAGCTTGTGAGGGGGAAAGCAGGGGGATGGAGAAGACCCCCCCATGCTTAATGATCAGGAGGCAGTTCGGGACTTCACCATCCAAGAGGGCGAGAGGCAGAGAAATGGCGTGGTCAGAAGTGGTGTCCTTGGGGGCCAGACTGCCAGGAATCCCGGCTCTGTCCTGTCCTAGCAGTGTGACATTTTAAATCTCTTCCTCTGTAGAACAAGGGGACTAATGGTACCGTCATCATAAAAATGGGGTGAAGATTAAAGCAGCAAGGTATACACAAAGTGCTCACACTGCCTCCAGGCACAGAACTATCGTGGTTAATTATCAGGGTCACGTTGAGCTATGACCTCTCTTCAACAGGGAGAGTTCCCTTGAGCTGGGCACTCAGGTCCTTTGGGCCTCCTAGCAAGCACCCAGCAGTCTACTTGGCCATTCCAGTATACCTGATCTCAGCTTCATTTCCTTCTCTTAGCACCTCCATCTTTGGTGAGTCCCATCTCACTGACTCCTGCACCCCCCAAAATGGTATGTGCTAAGTCACTTCAGTCATGTCCTGCTCTTTGGGACCCTATGGACAATAGTCTGCCAGGCTTCTCTGTCCGTGAGATTTCCAGGCAAGAATACTGGAGTGGGTTGCCTGCCGTGCCTTCCTCCAGGAGATCTTCCCGACCCAAGGATCGAACCTGCATCTCTGATGCCTCTTGTATTGGCAAACGGTTTCTTTACCACTGTTGCCACATGGGAAGAACTCCAAAATAGGACAGCATTTCCTTTTGCCTCTATTCTTTTACCAGTTCTGTCCCCTCCACCTGGAACAACCATATTCTCTCAGTGTTCAGCCATATCTTCCAGGAAACCTTCCTTGATTTCCCCAACTGGCAGCAAGTGCTTCCTTCTCTACACTCTCCCAGCAGTTACCCATACCATCTTGATGGCCCTGACCTCTTTCCACCCTCCATCACAGCCATCACATCATCTGCTCACATCTGTGAGCTCCTCGAGGCGAAGCTCTGTGCTTGACAAGGTAAGGTGACAGCAGCCAGGACAGAATCATGCTGAATGGTCAGTATTTTTCCAGGTGTGATCTTTGGATCACCTGCAGTGTGGGGCTGCCGGGGCTGGCAGGCAGCCCGGACCTGGGTTTCGGTTTCCTGTGAAATGGTGGGATTCCCCACCCCCATCAGGTAACCTGGAGCCAGCCAATCAATATGCGCCCAGTAAGAAACAAAGGGAGAGCTAAAAAGCCCGAGGACGCCTAAGTTTGAACAAAAGCTCGCGAAAGTTTGTACCAATAAAATTGCTTTGCAAACATGTAACCAATCCGCTTAAGCCAGCTACTAACTGCTTATGCATACCTTATAAATTTGGGTAACCGCCTCTGCTCAGGGCTCTCTGACCCCGTACCACATGTTGGACGCGCAGCAGGAGCCCTGATTTGAGTCAGTAATAAACTTCCCTTTTTTGCGAGTTGCATTGTCTTGGAAGCCTTCTCTCTTCCCGCTCGGGGATTCGGACATCGGGCATAACATGCAGCAGAACCAACTGGGGTGATTGTTAAAAATTCAGAGTCCTGGTTGTGAGACAGCTTGTGTTTTCTTTGGACAAGAGTCAGAACTTTGCTCTGGAAAACCAAGCGTAAACTTTCCGGATGCAGCTCAAACCCCAGCAATAGACTGCTAGAAACCGGAATGCAGCCATTGCCCGAGGACAACCTTTGGAAGAAGACAAAAGGGACCAAGATTGATTGAGCACCTGTGTTGTTATCTCGTAACTCAGTGAGGGCGTGAGTGCAGCCTCCTGGGAATTAAAAAAAAACAACAACAACAACAAAAAACGCTTCTTTTGTTTGGCTATGCCAGATCTTAGTTGCTTAGTTGTGGCACGTGGGATCTAGTTTCCCAACCAGGGACCGAACCTGCATTGGGAGCGTGGAATCTTAGCCACTGGACCACCAGGGAAGTTCCCCTCCTGGGCATTTTTTGTTTGTTGGCTCTCTGCTCTATTCTTCTGCCACTGCCTGTGTGAACTTAACCACTCAGAACGATCCTTTCCCTACCGCCCTGCCAGTCTAGTTCCCGGGGTGAGGAGCGGTCTCTACAGTAACTGCGAAGGGCTGGCTCTATGACTTTTCTGTCTTGTCACCTTCCCCAGGACTGGGCTCCCTCCCAGTCTCTTCTCTGCTGACTTCACTGCTTGATCCACTGGAAAGAGATGAAGACATGGGGTGCCTGGGAGACTCCCCGAACTTAGCCTAAAGGTGTGGTTGGCCAGATTGCCCTTCACACGGGCTCCGAAGAGGTGGGGAAAAGAATCATCTACACATTCCAGGAGTGGTTCTCCAGGAGCACCTTCTAA